GCAGCCACTGAGCAGGGGAGACAGGACGCTGGCCAAGTGTCAAAAGCCTTGCTAGTGGGCAGAGCTGCCTACCACAGACTTGAGCTGTCACACTCACACTACCTCATACTGAACCATGACAGGCAGCTGCCACCAGTGCTGTCGAGCCACTTGGAAAGTGACAGTAACACCATGAGTCCACCATAGAAAGAGAGGCCTTTCTCCACACCCCAGCTGTCCCAAACGACTCACTTCACCCACAACCATGACAAGCCTGACACCTGTGGGCCATCAGAACCCCAAGTCAGAAGTCTTTAAAGGAGGGGTCTTTGTCTTGGCCCCCAGCCAGTCAGAGCATTCCCTATCTGCTTGTGCACTCCCAGGAGCCCTCCCCTGGGTCTCAAAGGTATCTACAGAGGACCCAAAACAAACCAAAAGGAGCTGCAGGCTGAGCAGAGGCTCCAGGGTTGGGAGCTGTGCTCACCACAATGATCTGCATGGGGAGATGGGGTACTTTGTAGTGTGCAGAGTGGAAGGTAGAGCCTGGCATGTTCTGTACTCACGAGTTTTACTGAACTCACTGGGCATGAGCTGCAGACAGGTGGGAGCACTGTGCGCTTGCCTTGACCACTGTTGTGCCACGAAGGGGCAGAAACAGAAGAACTGGACCACGAAGCGGTCATGCCCTAGGATCCCAGTGTCAGGAGGTCTGGGGAGGACTGAGCATTTGAGGCCAGCCTGGGCTAAGAGTTCTAGACCAGCCTGATCACATGGCAAGATTCTGTCTTAGAAAGGAGAAAGGGACATGGACACTTGGGAGCGCACACAGGCAAACACACACACACCAGTTATCAAAGTCTTCAGAGGATGGACGGGGACCAATGTGCCGTCCTCATACCTTGACCTGAGACAGCTCCTTCTGAGGTGCTGTGAGCTTCTTGCTGACCCTGCCCTTGGCTTTCAGCTCCTCCACAGTCTTATAGGAGTACTTGGGCTTCTTCTTGCTCCCGCTGGGGTCTTTCCTCCACTGGCTCAGCTCCTTCTGAAACTCCTGGAGCAGAGGGAGGCAGAGAACGTCAATAGCAGGGGCCTCCTCCACAGCAAGCAGCCAGGACAAGGCCCTTAGCAAGCCCGTAGCCACCAAGCACCACTTCTCAACACCCATCCGTGTACAGTACAAGGGTTGAGATGCCAAGGCAGGGTCCTCAAGGGAAGGGCGCAGCTCTGCCAGTCCTC